CGGACAAAAGTTCGGCCATTTGCTTCGATCCCAAGCGCCGCACCAAAACCATACAACACGGTGCGCGGTCTGTGCGAATGCAAGACATCGCAATACCGTGGCACCGCACAGTCAAATATCTAGGGATCATACTAGACAAAAAACTCACCTTCCGTGCACACATCACACGCGTAGTCGCGAACGCGCGCTTTTATATGAGCCGCCTCCACCCGATGCTCGGTAAAAACAGTAAAATGTCACTCCGTAACAAGCGAACGCTTTACAAAGTTTGCATACGCCCGGTCCTCACTTACGCGTCACCAGTGTTCGCACACGCGGACGAAGCGATTTTGAACAAACTTCAAGTGCTTCAAAATCGCTTCTGCCGCATAGCCACAGGGGCCCCGTGGTACGTCCGCAACGCGGATCTCCACAGGGACCTACAACTCGACACAATTCAAACACAAAACAGAGTGCTCGGAACGGTTCTTCAAAGCTGCAGAAGAGCACTATAACCCACTCATTAGATCGGCTTCGGGATCCGCCCCACACACTCCATCTCGCTTCAGGCCCCGTAGGCCCAAACACGCACTCACAGCCACACACAATAAACTCACACGCGATCTCGCGGCCCTCCTGGCCGCTGAGGATCCAACACTCGCGGTGAGTCCCCCCGCCCCCCCGACACAGAGAGGTTCGATTCCTCTCAGTCCCCTCCCGTTTCAAGTGCACTTGTCCTCTAAGCGCATTTTGCGTTATTTTAAAACTATGCACTAGTTTAAACTAACGCGGCGCCGCATCATCCCCCTCTCGGGGGTTGATCGCTTCAGATGAAGCTTGTAAGGCCCTTCTGGCCATAAGCATGAATAAAGGGTGTTTTTTAGTCAGTAAGAGTCTGACATAACCTTACAGCCGGCTGTAGGGTATCCATGAGGATTTCTCACCCTCTCCCCCGCCTGGGAGGAAACAAAAAAAAACAAAAAAAAAAAAACGCGCACAGACAGTTGAGTTTCAACAGCGATTTCGGAGCGAATCCAAAGGCGATCAAAGTGCAACAAAAGTGTTCAAGTGCGATAGTTTAGAGACTTGTATAGTGAAATTACAGTGTTTAGAGAGTGTTTTGTAATTAACATTGTGTGTTAATTGTATGAACTGTGTGGTGAATAAAGAACTGTCAAGCGTGAACTGGCATATAATTTCGAACCCCATCCCGTCACGTAACAATAGTATAATAGCCTTTCTAAAGTAAACAACTTTTAATGTGAGATTTAACTCATTTATGGGTAACTCAAGAATAAGAACTATAAACTTTATTATAAAAATGTATACCTTGACCCATAAAAGATCGGCAGTGGGTGTAATAGTAGACGAATAGTATTAGTGACGTCACCTGTAGAAAAAGACCTTGCAGTTCCAACTCAATCTATATAAGCCTATAGAAAACAGCAAGAGAAATATAACTGCCGATAAATGGTTTAGTTTAATTCCTCTGATTGCAGCAGAAAAACAAAAAAGAAATCCCACCTGATTTTTTTCCGAATAAGCATAGAGAACCAGGCAGCTCCTTATATGAGTTTACTAAAGATTATACCTTACTCTCCCATGTGCCAAAAAATACAAGGCTATCTTATTGATTTCATCTTCTCATCAAACGGAAACCGTAAATGATAAGACGAAAAAACCGATCATGATTGCTGACTATAATCATTCTAAAGGTGGAGTCGATGAAATTGACAAAAAATGATAGATTTATTCCAGCAGTCGTAAAACACGTCGTTGGCCCATGGCAGTATTCTTCAGAATTTTAGATCTTGCTGGTACTAATACATTTGTTCCATATGAAAGTTGCCCGGGTGCTAAATTACGAAGAGGAGATTCCATATTGTATTTGGCAAGAGAACTGGTTCTGCCTGTCTTGAAAGAGCGCGTTTATATAGCGATGCGCGACTACGATTGATTTTACCTTTCGACTAATTCGTAACTACTAATTGGGCTATTCGAAAGGCAAATTAGTAGTATACTAATGTCATTATTCGAATAACGACTACTAATTAGTAATACTAATGTCAAATTTACAAGAGCGCAACGAATAAGCTTAGTTCATTCATTCGTTCGTTCATCATTTGCTTTAGTTCAGTTAGTTTCCGTACGTTCGTCTACGATAGTCTTATAACTGTCATTAGGTAATTTTTTTTTGTAGTAAAATCTGTATTTACCAGTGAATTTGTTTATTATTACTTGATTTATATATATTTTTAATATTAAGAGTTCATATATCGACATAATCATTAAAAAACGATTGAAAGTAGTACCCTATTGACTCTGTTTATCTCTTTCACTCGTCGAGTTCGCCCGACCAAGCCCGAGTCGACCCGAGTCGATCGAGAGTCGGTTAGTCGCCGCCCGATACCTTCGAGTCGAATGATATGAAGCGCAGTCGACTTGGTCGAATGATTCGTGGAGTCGAATGATTAGTATTAGTATTATTCGAAGTCGCGCATCGTTAGTTTATAACAACCGTCTTCCGAGAGAACTCCGTCTAACTATAGCAAGAGTTTTGGGAAAAGATTTGCCTTCGCCTCAGCCAGAAACCCAGCCACCAGGGTCAGCAGGAAGGAAGCTTTGGAGCATATGCCCTAGCAAATTAAAAAGACAGACCAGATATAACTGTTTCGCGTGTAAAAAACAAATATGCCTGCAGTATTCTTCTCCAATTTGCATAGAATGTCAGATTTAATTCCCTAGAATAAGGTTAACTTTGAGAGTGATTTGTGCCTAATAGAACCGTAGTATATCGTTGACTATTTTCTTTTCTCCTTAAATAGAGACTATATAACATAACAACATTATTAAAAAAATGATATTTTATTTGTAATCTTTTTTTTATTATTAATTTTAGTGTATAAAAAACGTCCTAAAATTTGATCTCATTAAATAAATAAATAATTAACTGATTTTTTATTTTAAGAGATCCTTTTGCCTTTTAATTTTATAACTAATAAGCCTAGATAATAAATGATTTTACTAAATGTAATCAATATTCATAGATTTTTTTAATGAATGATATTTAAAATCACGCCCGACAGTTGAATTTTAACTATAAACTACAAATTCACCTCAGTTGCAGAAGGTGTTAAGATAATTTATTATTTGTGTGGTAGTTTTACATATAACAAAATAAAAAAAAACATGCTGTAAATATAGTTAATTTAGTATATTGATCGGTTGTTTTTCTTTTTTTTGGATTTAATAATATTTGTTCGTATCGCTTAGACCAGGACCCGCTTAATAAGTGGCCGATATAATAAGGCAGCTTTTTGAAGATAAGGAGGGCGTGGAGCAGTAAATGAGTGAAGCAGCAGAAGGTACTTTCAATTTAGCAAAAAATACTAAGTTCGGTTTGAGTATTATATCATAAAAAAGAACTCAAGAATGAGAGTACAAACTTTATTATTTCTATTGATATAAGTTATTCTAAAAAACTGGTATTTTCAATTTAGCAGTCGATATTAAGTTCGTTTTGGGTACCAATAAAAAAAGGTCTTTCAAAATACTCTTTATACGTCTCTTCAACCGTCAAAACAACTAAACTAAAACAAAATGGCATTCAGCGTGTTGTTTGCGGACAACGTGTTTGTTGTGTTGTAGTGTTATTTGACGTATTTTGTGATTAAAACGTTGATTTGTGCTTCAGTTCCTCCGTTTGAATATTATAAAGTGAATCGGTTTGTTTGAACATTGTGTAAAAGTGAGATATAGACTCGGTGTTTGTTAGTGACAAGGGCTGACAAAAAAAATAAGCGAAAAAACAACCCAACAAAAACACCTTCCATAGGTGTTTTTGTTAATTGAGATTATGCTGGTATTGGAAGATGATCAGATTCTTCGCTGTATATAACAATGCTTAGCACCCAGTCCAGTAAGAATGTTGCTTTTTGAAAAATACTTTTAACGTTAAATACTTAGTACTTTTGTATTCAATCAAGAGGCGTCAAGAGCAAACGGATTTTTTTTTTATGCAAGTTAGTAATTTTATATGAGTGCCAAAAATAATTTTTGCCGACTTTATTGTTTGTTACTATGTATATCTACGTATACCAAATTAAATTTTATTTTTATATTATGTTTTACCAGTTTTATGTAGCAGTAACTTAATAATATCAAATAAAAGTAATAAATGTGAATCTTTTTTAGGGTTTTTTTTATGATAAATAAATATTTCCAACACTCACACCAATTAGCCCTAGCCCCAAAATTAGCACGGTAAAGCTTGTGTTATGGGATACTAGGGTAACGCATAGAATAAATATACTGCACATATTAAGATATATTTATTTGGAAATACATATTAAAGGGTTGGGAGCGATGGGCGCTGACCGACCCGCGCGTGGCTATCCTAGTGTTAGACATTGCAAAGTACTCTTTAAAGGCTCTATGGGCGCTGCAGGTAGTGAACGCATTACCGTTCCCTTTGGTGGCCCGTAGTGACCCACTACCTGAAAAGACAGTGTGTATATGCGGTATCCGCTTGGATGCAGGTGACGTAGACCGCAACGGCGGGGCTATTTCGGTGGCACCCCGGGGACCCCAGAGACCTCATCGTGGCTTGTCTCGACAAGTTGCTTGGCTATCCCTCGTCGCTAACCGACGTATTCGACTTATGGGCTAGGACCCGTATCACAAGTAGTAGGTTCGACTGGCGGGAAATTAAGGCAATTATCGCCCACCTCAACAACCGCTATGTCAAGGGTAGAGGTCCAAAAGCGTGCCGCGGGAGACGGACGCACCTACCAGCTCCCTGCTGCTTTTATAGATACCAGATTTGACACATATACCTAGCCCTCCGTAGCATAGTATACTGCCCATGACTTCGACAACGTCAATGCGGTAACCCAGTTCGACCAGGTGGTTACAGACCGGGAGACCGCAGACGAAAACCCCATACTGTATTTAGGGGAGTGGTCGAACTATTGTGAGCTGGCGACCAGGTGCCTGCTGAGTTACTGTAGACCAGCGGTCAGATCAGGTCGGGAATAAACTGTGACAGCCTGCCGCTGAACAGCATAACAAGGTCCCTCTACTGTCACCGGGCCTACGGGGAGTGGAAGGCATCGCCGGCAGTACGAGATGAGGTGGCGACAAGGACGGCCAACGACGGGTTACGCCAATTCTGGTACGTACTGGAAGGAGGTACGGAAACCAATCAAGACGACTGCGTAAGATCCGCATGTTACGAATGGCTCTGAGGAGGAATTCGGCCTGTCGTGGTTCGTTAATAATGAAGAAATAGTGCTGACGACTTTTAGAGGGGTAAGTACACCCATCGGAATGTGGCTCAGTGAAGTCGAAACAGGTATGGCGCCATTCAACCCTTGCCAGGAGAGGGGATATGTCCAGGAGCTGAGCCAGGGAATTGGTGGGGTGAGAACCGCGCGTTTAGGCTGTCCACTAACGTGGTGGCCATGCCCGAAATTGAGAGGGCCCTTAGCAGGGTAGCCCCTTTTGGTCCGAAACGAGTTCCACTTCGTAGTAGTATACTACGAAGTGGCCCCTACGGGGTGGGGTATTAGCCTAAGGCTCCCCGACTGGCAAGTGTCACAGTTCAAGGTGCTAACCCTCTACCCCTATATACTACAACTCAATCCAGGTCGTAGGAGGGGTGGTGTATAAAACTCCGGTGCGGGTACTTAGGGTATAACAGGCCCTAGCCCTCCCCGAGGGCGTCGCCGCAGTCAAGACGCCTGCCCTCAGCGCCGCCAACATTTTGCCACAGGTGGCCCGATTACTACTGGGGGGATTCCGAGGAGGTGGTGGTGCACGAGAGAGCCCCGTCCTGCCCTCCGTATTCGGAGTTCCCCCCCCCCCCCCCGGAGGACTCCTCACCGGTCGCGGTTCGCCCGCCGCCCCGTCGGCCCGCAACGGCGCCCGCCGGATCTAGGCACAGAATAAGACGGGCCATTTTGCCCGCTGAGCCGGAGGAGCCCGCGGGGCCGCGCCGGGCCTCATCTTGCTCCCCCAGCGCTGGGGCCGGAAGGCGCCGCTTATCACCGCCTCGGTCCCCGAGCCGCTCGCCGGGGCCCCGGGTGCCGTTGGGGGCTCTGGCGACTCCGGGGACCTCCTCCACGTCTTCGACCTCGTCCTCGAGTGGTTCGCCCGGGGGGGCCCGGGGGCCGTCGGCGGCTTCGTGGGCTCCTGGGACCTCCAGCTCCTCATCCACCTCATCCACGCTGACCTCAACATTATCGACCTCCGGATCCTCGGCCGCCTCGCCGTCGTCACCGCGCGGGCGCTCGAGGACCAGGTCCCGATCCCCGCTTGGGCCCCCTCGTGCGGCTGCCCCCGCCGATCCTGCGCTGCCCCAGCCGCCGCCTTACTGGACATACACACGAGACAGGAACGCCCGCAGAGTAATGCAGTGCATCCTCTGCGGCATCGTCGTGAACAGTCACGTAAGGCGGCATTTTCAAAGACACCATGCCCCCTACAGAGGGTATGAGGCCGCGGGCCCCTACCCCCGAGGATTCTACATCCTGGTAATGAGCCGGCTCCCCACGTGTCCCCCGGAGGCCCGTCCCCCCCTCTCTGCCCTGGAGGGCGTGGCGGGGGTCGATTGGGGGTTCCTGGGAATGGGGGACCGCTGATCGGCCTTTTTGGAAAGTTTACATTTATCTTTGTATGTTGACTTTTAATCATATTAAAGACTCTCTCATGTTCTCAGTCGGTCGGTCCGCGGTCCGGGGACCGCGGATTTTCGCGGCGTCTGCGGTCCGCGATCTGCGGACCGCGAACTTCTCGCGGGGTCGGCGGTCCGCGATCCGTGGACCGCGAAAATTCCGCGGGGTCGGTGGTCCTCGGTCCTCGGTCCGCGGTCCATGCACGCAGCCCACAGTATGGTCCTCGGTCCTGTTTGTAAATATTAATACTTAAGAAATGCACGCAGCCCAGTATGTAAGGGAAAAAAAAAAAAAAAAAAAAAAAAAAAAAGATTATTCTTATTATGTGGTATTGGCTGATTTGATTTAATTAATTTGGACATTTAAAGTATAACTCATCATTGTCATTGTTCGGTATCGAATTACTGAGAATACCTGATCCAAGCTGATCTAATCTAATTTAATTAGGACATCCAAGCTGATTTAATCTAATTTAATCTGGACATAAATGTATAATTTGATTCAAATTTGTATAAAAAAAAAAAAAAGAAACAGGCCCTAGCTGCCATAACCAGGACAATAAGAGGCAACATGTTAGCGCAACAAACCATTCGCCGTAACAGCATGAGTTGCATTTATTTTAAATCAACTGAGAAAATGATAAAATCATTTAATACGGGGATGTACAAGAAACGGCTATCGGGCTCAATGATAGTGACAGTGATTGATGAGTGGTTGGTTAGTCAACTAAAAAATGTAATTATATAAAAATGTAATAACATTTATATTTAAACAATAAAAGTTTCTTGATATCTGCTGTAAAATGCACTGTATTTTTTTGCACCCAACACTGTAATATTAGTTTCTTCATCTGGTAACACTAGTTCGATCACTTATTTAGTATCAACTTGTGCCAACCCGTTTGCAGAAAAGAGAAAGATTGTCTTCTATCTCTGTTATTTTCATCGTATCGAAACGACTGTTGAACTGGGCGCATTGACCCTAATTAGTTCACTTTATGCCAAAAACTCGACAAATGGTACTTTTCAGTTATTTCTTTTTTTGAATAAAGGTGCGACAGCCAAGAGACGTGAGAAAGTTCATTCATTTCATCTTTATTTACAACTTTTTTTTCCAATGACAGCACTAGTGTGCAAAGTGTGTCCTCCTTAATAAATGGATAAAAAACTGGCTTCAAAGCTTTTTTACTGTCATGGGATGACCATCAATATTGAAAATCCAAAATGTGAATCGAAATTTCACAGCGGCTCATATAGAAGATTATTCCGAGTTATTGATAGTTGAAAATAATGTCTTCGATTTAAAAAAATATTCAATAAATGGAGGACGATTGTCCTCTACTATGGTATTGGATAGGTCGTAAGAAACAACACTTCACGGAAATTAATACAGAGGTACCCCCAGTTCCCAAAAAAGCTACTTCTCTCTACTTAATAACACTTCGTACTTGTGATTCAGATGATAGAATCGCAACACTACTTAATATTGCTAGAAAATTTAATACAAAGCTAGACAAGCCGCCGCGCTGTGCAGACGCGCTCTGCATCGTGTTCGCGTCTCGTGTCCGCTATTCTTTGCCCGTGCTCGGCACGTGGCAATTTTCATCGGTCGCCCGTTCGACCTTTCCCCCGAGCCCCGCAGCTCGGCCCATCGCGAATCAATTTTCGACGGAGTTTTCACTGCGGGAATTGATTGGAACGGTTAATATTTCACTTTGGTTTTCCAGTTCTTCACGGTTGTACACCGTCACTGTGCAGTGCAGTGTAGTATAGTGCAGTGTCCTGTGCCAGCCCGTCGCCTGGACTCTGTAAGTAGAGGTACTCACCCCGCGGCAATCACTTTGTCGCGGGACTTAGGGATAGGAGAAACGCCTCCCTGTCACTCACGGCAGGGAGGGCTGACGCCCTCACACACCCTCCTGTCACACACGCTCAGTCATGGCACCTGCGGTTATGACTGAGGAGGCCAGGTCGGAGTTTCTGAAACTTCAGCAATCCCGACCGGACTTTTATAGGTTTTTAAATTAGACATACGGTCTCCCCGATCTCGCGCCTTCCGCGCTTTCCGCCCCGGGCCCGGTGCCTTCAGCGAAGCCCGTCCCCCGTCTCGCGCCTTCAGCGCAAACCACCCAAGTGCCTCCTGCACCATTCACCTCCCGTCCCGCGCCCTCAGCGTAGAAACCCGCCGCTCCTCTGATCCATGAGGATGCCCTGCTGTCCCCCGATGCATCTCCTTCTGAGATGCAGGTCAAAAAGAGGAAAAAGGCCCCGCAAGACGAAATCCTCCTCGGGATCCAATTCCGAAGAACCCGATTCCCCGTCGGAAGTGCCGTCCGAAGTTTGAAACATCTACTCACTTTCGAAGAATTTACTACGATACTGGCACAGCTAGAGACATGTTTGAACTCTAAACACTTGTGGGCTCTTACAGAAAATGTCGAAGATCTTGATATCTTAATACCAGCACAACTCTTAACTGGAAAAGCTGACGTCACAGTTGTAGAAACAGCCGAAGACGCCCGTACATGGTGGCATTTAACAACAAAGATATTCCAGGGAATTTGGCAGAGATGGAAGGAAGAATATCTTAGTCAACTATCAATGCGGGGAAAGAGGACACGAGCTCAACAAAACATCGGTGTGGGACACATAGTTGTGATCCAGGTGTAACGTTATGCATTACATAATTCATATTATTACCCTAAAATACACTTAAATTTAATATTTACAATGCCTAAAACTAAATAATAACACTATTAGATTTAATTCTACACTAAAAACTACTTATAAAAATAAAACACAATTTTATTATAACTAAATTATTTACAAATCATGATAATATTAATAATCAAATTGGCTATTTACAATAATAAAACTATTCACAGACACTAAAACGCAACATAAATTCATCAAGCGGATTTGTATACGTAAACTCGCGCGATGCAACATTTTAGCGCTCCAAGCAGGATCTTTTGCTCTCGCTAAGCTAAAACTGCATGACCGGCCGCCCGCCATTCATTCCATTTCTCGATCTAATTTGAGTGAACGTACTTCACATAGAATTTTTTGGTCTCTAATACGGGAAAAAAATAATAATCTTTAAAACTCGTAACCATAATATAATATTTTTCGTGATCGTCGCTAAGCGTTCCTCAAATAAATAACACGATAAATTATTGTGAAGTGAGTGTCAACCGCCCCGAAACTGGGTAAGTGGTAATTTTAATGTCGCAGGCAGTTAAAGTAGTTATTAGTGTAAAAATTCATTTTTAAACCCAATGTTTGTGTTTAACATGCATTATGCATATTAATATAAATCACATTTAGATTGATTTTGCATACTTTTGCTACATTAAAGATTTCATTGTCGTTTAATTCCACCCTCATATTTCAATAATTTTAAATATACGTAAATTTCATTATCAATCCATTTATTTGTCGAAATTGTAATCTCCGTTTCTGATTGTGATGTTTCCACGGCACTACCTACTACTACAATTAGGTACTTTCTTTTACGACGTACTGCCCGTGGATGTTCGCAAAATAGTACTGGACCGCTTGTAATTGTATTTAATGGCGCGTTCCAGGGTTCAACGCTCGGGATACCAATTTGGCCCGTATCACCTCACAGCCCCTACTTTCACCACACGAGAGTACTCTCTGCCGGGCTCAGCTACCCGTTCCTGCAGCCTCCAGTCGCCAGCGGTTTCCATAACGCGACTCCCGGGATCACCAACTACCCGGCGTTACACAGGAGAGTACCTGAACCGACGAAGCTAAAGAACTTGTGTGGATTAAGTGCTCAACCCCACCTGTATAATTCTTGATTTCTCCGGGTGGAGTTTTTTTTATTTAAGTTAATAATTTGCATGGTATTCTGTTGTCTCATTTCTGACCTTAGTTAGTAGACCAGGGTAACCGTGACACAGGGCGATAATGTGCCAGCGGGAAAATGGCCGATCGGCAGGCCGAGTTACAGAAACACACCCCGGCTCAGACGGCTACGTACGACTCGTAACATTGCAAACAAAGAGCGGATTCTTGAAAAGACCAGTGATTAAAATCAGTTCTGCCTATTAAGTCAAATGAAACAACCACTGAACAAAAACTACAAGTACTACCAGATGGAACAACATTACCCATGAGTATTCAGGTAATGACAAATTCTGGCACATCCACCAACGATTCGACCCAAATGCAATTGGATACCAATCTTCGACAGCAACATACAGTTTCCATCCAAGTGCATCTCCATTAAACGTATCCACCAATGATTCGACCCAAATGCAACCCGGATACCAATCTGCGACAGCAACATACAATGTACAACTGGGTACTTCTAGCTAGTCTTCATTCATCGTACCCAGCCCCAGGTGCCGTAAGGACAGGGAGATGCTGAGGATGATCGCGGCCGTGGCCCCCCTAACTCCTGGAGTTGGGCAACTACCTGGGGCAGGTCGGGAACCCGGGGCTTCCTGGGGCTCCTGAGGCGGGGGACCAGAGACCTCCACCACGTCATCGGTCGCCCTCGCCGAGGGCTTCGCCGCTGCCGAGGCGCCCCCCCTCCGCGCCGGCCACTTTCTGCCACAGATGGGGGACGATGGAGACGAGCCATCTTGCCCGCCGAGCCGGAGGGGCCCGCGGAGTCGCGCCGGGCCACCTTATACTCCCCTGGCGCCGGGGCCGGAGGGGCCCCCCTACTTTTGCCTCGGACTCTGAACGCTTCGCCGGGAGCTTCGGGAACTTCGGGAACCTCCTCTTCGTCCTCGGCGTCGTCATCGTCGTCGGCGGCGAGCGCGTCGGGGTCCTCGGCCTCCTCGCCGTCCTCGTCGCGCGGGCGATCGAGGACGAGGTCCCGCTTCCCGCTTGGGCCTCCCCGCGCGGCCGCCCCCGCTGATCCTGCGCTGCCCCAGCCGCCGCCCTACTGGGCCTACGTACATGACAGAAATACCCGCAGAGTAATGCAGTGCATCCTCTACGGGATTATAATCAATAGCCATGTCAAAAGGCATTTTCAGAGAAGACATGCCCCCACAGGGGGTATGAGGCTGCGGGCCCCTACCCCCGGGGCTACTACATACTAGTGATGAGCCGGCTATCCACGTGCCCCCCGGAGGCCCGGTGTCGGTGGTCCCCCGGAGGCATTTTTCCGGTGTCGGTGGTCCGCGTTCCGGGGACCGCTTATTAGGAGTGAACCCGAAAATTTCACAAGTCCTCATGTCTGGTGAACCTAAGGACCTAAATGACGCATTTAATTGATATATAAACTGACAATATTTTCAAAATTATATGTATGACCGTTTGTTTCTAATAAATAAATAAATAAATAAAATAAATAAATTTAATATATCATTAGAGGAAGAAAAATTATCATTATTAGAATCTAGCAAACCATATGAACAACGGCGTAGATACTGAGACATACAGCCACATTCTGTAACAACCACAACTAATACTAGTATCAATAGAAATACAAATCCGCGTGCTTAATATTAATAAGATTTACCGGCTTGGTAAAACTGCCGGAAGAGCTAATGGTTAAAGAATATATTTGAGCTGTTCACATTTTACCGGATCCAGCAAAAATACCGAGCTTTTGGTATTTTCGGGTATTGGCCGAGCGTTTTGTCACTGCGAAGCGCCGGTAGAACACCCGGACCGGAGTAATGTGAACCAGTTTTCCCGGATCTATGTTCCCCGCTCACCCCGCCCGTGCTCCCCTCACGTCATTCGGCTCGAATTTTTTGATAACAGTAGACGTGTATATTGGACATTCAAGCAGAAATTTTAGTTACGCTTGTCCAAGAGAGACCTGTTCTGTGGGATAAGACCGAAGAAGTCTATAAAGACAAAAACTTAAAATGAGCAGCATGGCGTGAAGTATGTTTAACTTCGACGAACTGGAAGAAAAAGAAAGAAACAAGTACGGTAAGTTTTTAATTTATTTATTGATAAAATGTAAGTAAATGCATTCACAAATATAATTTTGTAGCTGCTGCTTGCCACGGAACGGAATCAATATCCGAAACAAAATTATTAGTAAATGCTGTCCGTATAGCGTTGGCATTAGGCCCACCTCGACTCGACCATTTCAATTCAAGAGTCTCGTTTATTGTTCTTGTCTATGTTCTATATTTTGGTAACTCCCAAAATTTATACCGTCATTTCCCTAACAACAACGGTTGTATTACCGTATTTAAGAAATAAAGACGGGAAAAAATGCCTTATCGGCGATAATTTATCCTCTCATTTGTCGCTCGATGTCATCAAATTTTCGTCCAATGAAAATTGCTTGGCGGAATATTTTGGTGAGATGGAAGAAAACAGTAGCAATATATTAAGTGCAGTTCCCAAAGGAAGTTTCCCGCAACTATTAAAAAAACTTATCGAAGAGCTCGATGACAATGCAACGTCTAATATTTTGGCAGACTTAAGAAAAACAGGCATATGGCCCCTTGATCAAAATCAAGTTTTAAGTAGACTACCGCAAGAAAACTTATTACAATGCATTTGTTGCAGGTGATAGTGGTTATGCATTGAGGCCATGGATGTTGACTCCATTATCTAACCCTGATGAAGGCACCTCAGAACATAGTTACAATGAGGCACTCAAAACAACTCGCACTACAGTGGAAAGACTGAATGGTGTTTTAAAAGCCAGATTTCGCTGCCTTTTAAAAGATAGGGTTCTGCACTACCAACCCTCTACGGCCACAAAAATTATAAATGCCTGCACAGTGCTGCATAACATGTGCATGGCCAATAACATAGACCTCCTAGAAGTAGATGAGGGTGATGAAATTCTGGGAAACGTTGACGTTGCCCGGCTTATTTCTTTGACACCGAGAGAGAACTATTATTTATCTTTGAGGCGGGCTAAACAAGATTTTATAATAAATAATTATTTTTTATAAATAAACAATTCTTTTATTAAAAACAATAAACTATACCTACTCTGAGGATAAGAACAATTAAAAAAATAAAAGTTTAAAGAAATTCGAAGCGGACCAAGCAGCAGCAGACGGGACTCGAACCTGCACCCTTCGCTATCCGGGCGAATGCAATGACCAATTATGCTACCGCTAATAATTCTTCTAGCAATTCTTAAGCTGCAAGGCAGCGCCATTTCTTCGCATTGTAGGTAACCGACAATATTAAACGAATAGTTTTACATTTGAAAGAAGAAATAGCAATTATAATGTTTATTTTTTTTTAACTTTAAGAGAACATCCCAATTTTAACAACAAAACTTCATTTAATCGAAAATGTCACAAAAATACCTACAACGGGACATGTCACATACTTCACCTGAACACGACATTGCGGCGTCCTCCACCCGACTAGAGGAACTACCAGGGACCCCTCCTATAGCACCAAGGCGCCACAAGCGCAAGTCCCCGAACGCCACTATACCACCCAAAACACCCTCTGAACAACAGGACACTCCCACAACACCCACCATGAGCAGCCCAACAAAAACACCGGAGGCTGCTTCCACACCAATACAACCACAAACACATCCAACAGCATACACCAGCACACAACCAAACACGCAAACCACAAACACACCAAATCGCAAACACCAGCACACAACCCGACACCCAGCCAGATACCCACAAAACAGATGAGGAAAACAAACATCACACAGAACACAAAACGATGCCACAGCCGAAAAAGAACAAACCATTACTAATTAAGATCATGAAGTAAAAACAAACCCAAAGAGGTCCCACCGAACTAGGCAAAACGGTGGCGAGGGAACAGCTCCTCAACATGAAAACCAACTCAGGTAGCCTCCGCAGAAGGGGCGTCCATTAGGAGCGCACAGATAGCAGCACGTAAAACCGACATGGACGACCTACAGCCGCTCGCAAATGTGTCGCTCCGGGACGTCACAATCCCTTTATCAGAAGCCCTTGAGAAGCTGCTCCACTCTGCCCCCCCCCCCCCCCCTCCCAAGTGTGGACCTCGATCATTACCAATCACAAGACTCACAAGCGGATCACACACCTACTATAGTAACAACACCCCCAGCCACTGTCAACCCAGACCAGAAAATAACCAGTACAGCCGTCGACAACGAAGGCAGCGCCTCGGGAGTTTCGAGAGAAAACGATAACAATGCGCCTTGCGAAGCAAAATAACTGGGTCATTGTTCAGCGTCATCACCTTGTGGAATAGAAGCAATCGTTTGCAAAGATACATGGATTAAATTGCATGCCCCTAACAGCTGGTTGACGATTTGTTGTGGAACTTGCACAATACGAACTATATGTGCAAATAATATGATGTCGTCACACGTCATTAATGGATCTGGGGTTGTTAATTTAGCTCAAGGATGTGTCCTACAACCGGACCAGTCGGCCATGTATTACCATATTCATTACTATAGTGACTCAACCTTTGATGAGAACTTCAAGATACCATCAATCAACTTCTCCATAAATAATATAGTTAACAAAAAGCCATACAGATATAACCAATCTACTCTGAAGCTATACGAGGATGAGAAAAGACTACGGGAAGTGGATGAGAAACTTAAGGTTCTTCGCGCTCAGGAGATTCTCTTGCCGGCGACCATCAGTACGCATGACGTGCACCAATATGCCACATGCTACTCTCTGCTGAAAATTGGCATCATAATCACCAGTGCGTGTGTGCTAAAACGGTGTACAGCGCCAGCTGTGTCATCTATGGCCAAAGAGAAAAAGGACAAGCAACCCGTATATGAAGACAGAACTTCAAAACATACTCAAGAAAAGACCAACTCGTGAAGACAGAAACAAGATGAAACCATCGGTCTCTACGGTGCCCCGCGGAGTATCTAGCCGCGAATAAGCTGGGACAAGCAACGCAGCTTTTAATTTTGAAAGGTAATTGTTTACTTTACAAAGGTTTCCCCTTTTCTTGACAGTTTTTTTCTTTTCTTTCTGGTTGCCAACATGTACGGTCTTATCACCGCACATACTGAACTACTTTGGGTCGCGCGTCATTATAGTTACTTTTATTGATATTATATATTAATTACACGAGTACGTTAAGAGCGCGCATATGAAACAGTCAAGCAATGAATCACCTACTAACTATTTTATCTGTATTTACGTTCGGCTACAATAATATACATATCTAACTTTGGTGACTTCTTTACCTGCTGTAAACTTTTTCTTTGTAGTACAGAAACAACTTATCATCTATCAGCTCTAGAAGGTGTACGTGGTCACACTAGCTCGTACAATGCCTGGGTAAGTAAAATACATTTAGTTACTTTATTTTGATGTTTCGTTTAGAGGTTTGTAACATCATTTTTTTTTCTTAGTAAATAATTTAATTAAAAATATTCTTCTTTACGAAAGAGTGTCATCTATTGTCACTCCCATGAATTAGCGAATGAATGACATTTGTTTTGAACTCAGAAATTTTAGAAAACGCTCTCTATACAAAAATATATAAACTACTTGAGAAAGGATGAAATCATATATGAACTGGATATTCTTGGTATTTCCACAGCTTCTGACACATCGGTGGATGCAATAAGGAAGCAGCTACGCCAAGTATTTAAGCTGACGAGACGCGGTAGCATCAAGTGTACCCCGGTTATATCATCACTCCCTCGAAAACGAGCTCACGGCCTGTTCGCCGAAAGTTGCTGAGCTTGAGGATCTGCTGTCATCAGGTGAACTCGGAAGGGATAGTAATCTTTACTTACGGGTGTCAGTTAGGGCTAATTATCTCATAGATAGACTGGCTCGGTTAGATGTTGAGAATTCTTCTCTGGTGGGTTTACGCCACAGACTCATTCGAATATTAGCTCAGGAAGCAAGGAAGATGAGAGTAGTTCAGATGAATTAGTTGATAAAGAGGGAACTCCCAAGTGTAAGAAAACTAGTGAGAAGGATGTGGGGGCGCAAGTGACGGATGAATATGAGTTACCTATCTCGAAAACGGGGAATAATACAAAGAAAGAAAAAAAAGAAGTGATTGTAATTAGATAAACCCATTAACTTAAATTCACTTAACTTAAAATATAATGGTTCTACCTGCGTTAGAATTTTAATTGAAAGGTTAGAAGAACTTAGACAGGCTCGCGAGTTTCCTCAATCTCGTATGCTAACTGCATTTTCTGACCTCTTGGAGGATTCTGCTTTAGCTTGGTTTAGAAGTAACAAAGCCAATTTTAACTCCTACTCAAGACTTATTGTTTCACCTGAGAGAGGACTTTGATATTCATGATTTAGACTATCGACTTAAAAACGAAATTAGACAACGCACCCAAGCTAGACAAGAGACCATAGTAAGCTACATTTCTACCATGCAAGGTATGTTCTCGAGGTTATCCATTCCCATGTCGGTAGATAAGCAATTGGAAATTATAATGCATAATATTTGACCAGAATATATGAAAGAGTTAGCCCTCCATAATGTTGATTCTATTCTTACTTTGAAACAGTTAGGAAAACGCTTAGAATTAGCTCAAATTCGCACTGAAAAAATTTCGGCACCTAATTTGAATAAGCTACAAGTTTCAAATGATCTTCAGTCACATAGAATTAAAATTTTTTACAAACCAACAAAACAGATTTCAACTGTTACCTTTCCTAAAAATTTGTCGAGTAATATTAAATGTATGAGATGTCAGAGTAACGAATATTTCACTAGAGACTGTGAAAATTCGACAGAAATTATATGTTTTAAGTGTGGGGAAAAAATGTGTAAAACGACCTGAGTGCCCACAGTGAAATTCATTTAACAATTCAAAAAACTAATATATGAGCATTCTAACTTAAGTAAATGTGAAGTTCTCTTTCAAAAGATAAAACTTGACAATAGACCTTATTTACAGTTTAAAGTGTTAAACGTGGATGCTTTAGGACTTGCTGACTCTGGAGCATCGTGCTCGATACTCGGCAAGAATTCACATCTGACTTTTCAAAAATTAGGCTTTAAACTTAATACTTTTGATAAAGAGGGTATAGGAAAAACGGCAAACAGTACAAAATTATCTTGTTTACGGTTATATGTATTTGCCAATTGAATATAATTCGTTACTTAAAGTAATTACATTTTATGTTGTACCGGAAATTACTACATCCATCTTATTAGGCATAGATTTTTGGCATCTAATTGGTTTGACCAAAAACTTAATCTCACCAAACTTTACTTATAACACTTTGAATTTGGAGAATCCTATTAATTCCTTATCGATGAAAAACGGATTAGAAGATTACGATAACTTAACAACTTGTCAAAAGCAAATTATTAATAAGTTAATTGATAAAGATTTGATTAATATGGAAAAGGTTAGTCAAGGACTACTTTAGAACACCATAAGATAGATACTGGTAACCATGGTCCGATTAAGCAGCGTTATTATCCCTTGTCTCCAATTAAACAAATAGACAGAATTGGATAGGATGTTAACTCTTGGAGTGGTTTCCCCTTCCCAATCGGCTTGTAATTCTCCTGTAGTATTAGTAGAGAAACCTGATGGCAAAATCAGATTATGCTTGGACTCTCGTAAACTTAACTACATCACCAAACCTGATGCTTATCCCTTGCCTTACATTAATCAAATTTTAGATCAACTTAATAACGCTTAGTATTTGACTTCAATTGATCTTAGTGCCGCATTCTGGCAGATTCCTCACGACCCTTCAGCGTCTGCTGAAAAGACTGCTTTCACCTCGTTGTTAATTGTTTATACAAAAGTTGTTGGTAATTATGTACGGAACAACTTTTCCATTTAAAATTTTCCATTAAAATGATATTTTCAGGGTGAAAAAGTGAAAAAACACTTTTTTGAGACTTTAGCGCCACCTACAATGCGCATTTTTTGTTGTACGAGATTGCAACAATGACATAAATTGTGTACTCAACGCCCTCTACAAATATGGTCGAGAAAAAATAGTTCCTAAAATGCATACAAAACAAGAAAAATGCGTTTCAAAAATGTTTTGAGGGTTTTTTTGAGTTTTTCAAAAAACCCCTACGAGTTGAACATGCCCATCGCCAAGGTAGCTTTTACTGACGTCATTTGGCAACAGAAAAAACAAGACTAACCCTTTAGGTTTTTTTTTCACTGAAACGATTTTTTTTTCGACAGATTGACTGTACTAATCCCAGCGATCGACGGTGCATTCTACGCAGAGCGGCGTTATTACAATTATTGTACTTCGACTCGACTCAGCGGCGGCCGCGCGGGTCACGTGGCCACCTAGAGCGGCGAGCAAGACACTACAGTGCGTTAGTGAAGTGAATTATACTAGTGAGTGCCTGCGGCAGGTCAACAAAGAGTATGGACCTTATTTTAATGTAAGTAAGTTTCATATCGTCCCTTAGCTAACAACACCGCTCAAGTCGACAATTGGCGGTTTTTACATTTTTAATGCCATTGGATGAAGCTGCGCATTGCGCGTCGAACCATTGGTCTCATGAAATAGATTTCAGCCAATCAGAAGCCGTAATTCAAAAAATAGTGACAGCGCTCAAGTCGGTTGGCGTCGCAACACCGCACAAGTCATTAGTCTGTCATACTTTTCACGCGAAAATACTTCACGCTCCGTGATTATTCAATTTTTATGTGAATTTTATCGCTGAAATATCTTTGCAAGAGGTTTTAATAGAAGATTAAGAGGTAAGCTATAGAATAAAGTAATGTTTATTGATTTACGCGTATTAATTTAGATATAAATGATAAAATAATATCTTTACTTACTTAGGCGGTGTTTACTAACTATTTTTTCTTAATTTAGGCGGTGTTTCAAAATTTATTTTATTTCTGTTAGGAAACTCAATAATTGAAATACGCTATGGATGGAGAAGAATTTGATTCCTGGAGTGATCTAAGTTCAGGTGATGAATGGTTATGTGCCCAATTACAAGAATCAGGGCTGATGTCAAAACATAAACGGCGTAAACAAAGTTGCAAAGAAGATAAAAAAAGAATTAAACTAGGTTAGTAGTAGTAGTAGTATGGGTTTGTTTTGCAGTCCGCATTTATTTTTTTGTCATTTATGATTTTAATACAATAATTCCTATTATTTATTTTAGATTTGAATCAAAAAGATAACACCAGTTCTTCTGACACCAAAGCATGCAATTCTCCTACTAAATGTGAAACTATCGCAACACCAGTAAATGATCAAAACTTTGGGGAGTCCATGAAAAGTATTATAAGTGGCCAGGATAATGTAAACACAATATTTGACCAGAATATAGACTTGGATAATATTGAAAATATTGACATTCACAATCTACAAGTCGTAGAAAAAGTTGGTAATGACTTCTTTGATTTGCAACATAATAATTTACCACCTGAATTTGCTACAGTGACCATCGAGTATCCTCCGCCTTCTGCATTGAATGTAGCCAATATCTCGGTAGAAAGTAAGAATGTTGTACAAGAACTAGGAAATATTGACATCGAAGCTTTTCCTACGAGTACTCAAGACCCAGTTTCGGATATAGTAATTAATACAGATACAGATATAACAGATGAGAATAAAACAACCCAAAACAATATCCAGCAATCCAGTGTCTCTGCTACTCCATCATGTTCTTCAAAAGTGGTCATACTCAGTAACGTTACTTATCACGGTGATTTGTTAAGTCATAAAAAACGACAGAACAAGGCGTCAAAAGATCCAAATAAATATAAACGCAATATAAATAAAGAGTTACGGATGAAAGGTGAAAATTATTTAGGATACAGAAGAGATAGAAAAGCAAAGATTAATGAAACATTTAAAGTGAAACAAGACGTATTCAAGCCTGCAAGATCCATGAAACCACCGTGCACTTCTGCGTTTTGCAAGAAATCCAAACTCAGGTCATGTGACAACATAAACGAGCAACAGCGAAAATATTTGTTTGAAAATTTCTGGAAGAACATGAACTGGGAGCAGCGAAGATCATTTATAACTTCTCACGTTAACAAAGTACCAAAAAAAGTTACAAAAAATCCAGAATCATCCAAAAGAACTGAAAGTCGAACTTACGTTTTGACCATTGATAATGTACGTCACCAAGTCTGCAAAAAAATGTTCTTGGCCACTCTTGGAATTAAAAATTGGTTTGTAAGATATTGGTTGACAAAAACCGATTGTGCTATGCCTCCCGATGTATCTACTTCAACCAGTAATCGCAGAAATCCAGGGAAAATTGAAGAGCACAAACACGTTGAAAAGTTTTTAGCAGATCTTCCAAAGATGCCGTCACATTACTGTCGTGCTAAAACATCACGAGAATATTTAGAGCCAATTTTCTCGAACATGACACAGCTCTATTACGCATATAAAGATAATTGTGAATTAGAGGGAAGAGAATGCCTTGGCCGTAAATTATTTGACAAATTATTTTTGAAACTCAATCTGAGCCTATTCCACCCAAAGAAAGATCAATGCGACGTTTGTTGCAGTCATAAAACTGGAAACATTACTGATGAAGAATACGCTCAACATGTTCTAAAGAAAGATCGAGCCAGGAAAGAGAAAGATACTGACAAAGGAATTGCACAGTCCGGAGCTTGTCACGTCTTCACACAGGATGTTGAATCGGTAAAATTGGCCCCGTATCTTCAAGCTAGTGCAATTTATTACAAGACTAAATTATGCGTTCATAATTTTACATTATACAATATAGCAACTAAGGAAGTAATGTGTTATTGGTTCGATGAGGCAAATAGTACGCTTGAAGCCTCTGTTTTTGCTTCATGCTTAGTAGACCATCTAGAGAAGGTTTTGAGTCGGAAATTATTGCCTGTGGTTTTATATTCCGATGGTTGTTGTGCTCAAAATCGCAATGTTACCTTAAGCAATGCTTTATTACGTTTAGCGATTGAAAAAAATACTGTGATTACTCAAAAGTACCTGGAAAAAGGCCATACTCACATGGAATGTGATTCGGTACATAGTGCCATAGAATGTAAATTAAAAGGTAAAGAAATTTACCTTCCACAACAATACATGGCTATAAGTAAAACTGCTAGGAGTGATCCTATGCCTTATGAAGCTCGTTATTTAGATTATACTTTTTTTACAGACTTTTCGAAAGAATTAATTTATAAATCTATAAGGCCTGGTAAAAAAGCAGGTGACCCTGTCGTCACAGATTTACGTATGCTAGAATACAGACCAAATGGCACAATTTGGTATAAAGTTAGTTTTGATGACGAGCTTCACCCGTTACCACATCGTCCCACGCCAATTAACAGAATTAAGCAAATCAATAGCTTGCAAAAATTGTACGCAGCTCGAATACCAATTACAAAGCGGAAATATCAAGATTTGCAAGACCTAAAAAGTGTAGTGCCATCTAATTGCCATTCTTTTTATGATGACCTTCCGCACAGCAATCACTAAAGACTGCAACTAAACTAAAGACTAGAGATTTTGAGTATTCTTTATTATTTCTATTATTTTATTAATACTATTATATCTTATTTCTTTGGAGTTTATTAAAGACTAAGTAAACTAAGATTAATATTTCAAATATTTACCTACTTTAAGCAATTGATCTCAACAATGTGATTCTTAAAATTTTAAGTTAATAAGTATACCTATGCTATGTTATAAAAGAATGTTAATTTTCTTGAAATATTTCTTAATAAAATCTTTTATTTGCAAATCATCTGTTAATACCTTAATCCCTAACATTTTCACAAACAACACCGCCCAAATCTAATAAAATAACAGTCCACACCGCTCAAGTCATAAAATAAATGTTGAAATTAAGTAAATCGTCAAAATAAGTATAATAAATTATTTCTTAACCACTAACTAGAGAATGTATTAAGTAGCAATAGAAAAAAACCACAGATTTTTTAAAATAGACAGTTTTTTTCGTCTCCTGTAAAGTTGGTGAAATTGACTTAGGCGGTGTTGTAAGCTAAGGGACGATATTTGTTAGGAAGTTCGACGCGAACTTGTAGTTAATACTATTAATTTAAACGGTCGAAGCGGCATTCAATTTGTTTGTTTTAACATTTCCTAGTTATTGTTATTATAGTTTCTAACCTAAGCTTGTGTTGTTAGTATACGATTGTTGTCGTTAATTATAAGCAATATCGGCCCGATACTGCATTGTTGTTGTTGTTTTTGTTAAGTAAGGTATTTCTTTTTGTAAAAAGGGTTATTGGTTGACAGTAATACCGGTATGAAATTACATTGTTGTGTATTCCTGTGGTCCCGTAATTGTTGTTAGTTTTATATTTATATCGACGCGATACTTATTGTTATTGTTTGGCATAACGTAAGCTAGTTTAATATTTGTTGGTGGAGTATTTTAATCAAATAAGAGTTCAAACCATTGTCAAAATGGATGTTAAGATGGCGCGTCACAATTTCAATATACTAGCTAAAATGCTTCGCGATTTCCACAGGTCTTTGGGGGAGACAACGTCGTCGATAGCATCGCGCGTTATAAAGCGCCAATTTGATAAATATTACACAGAATTTGTTCAGGCCTACGAGGCGCTCGTGGCCAGTGATGCCGAGGACATTGAAAACCTGGGGCAGTAGTTCTCCGAGATCAACGGGCTGTTGATTGCTGTGGAGATTAAGATGGAGGAGCTCGACGCCGGGCCATCCAAGGCACCATCGGTCAAGAGGGACACTTCAAGTGGCCCGCGAGAGGCAACCGTAGCGGCTAAGCTTCCCTTCAATGAGCTGGGGCAGTTTAATGGTAACCCGAGGGACTGGGTAAGTTTTTACGATTTGTTCCTTTCATTGGTACACAACCGTTCAAATCTCCCGGCTACGGAGAAACATTATTACCTGCGGAGCTGCTTAAAGTTAACTGAACTGCAGACGAAGCTGGGACGAAGATGTGTTAGGAACTCTAGAGATGTCCCATAGTATTTCAAATGATACGTGTGATACTTAAGTATATCCTTGTCATTCTCTACACAGAATGAAAAGGACAGACTGATCTTAAATTTAATTTTAAGTTTAGAAAATCACGCCAGAATCGATACCAATCAGAGCTCGACTAAGTAATTTTACTACATCACTAGTCTTTTGATTTTAACAGATTGTTGAGTTGCTGTCAGTCAACTGAAAAGTCCGGAATTTCTTTGTGTACACAAAAATTATTAGTAGTTTATTTGAAGAGGAAATGGAAGAGCGCCGCCGTATCACGACTGTCCGCCAGCTAGAAATCCTAGTGGAATATCTCGAAGCCCACAAAGATCTCGCTCTTGGCAGGGTCCAGTCAAAAGAAGCTCGTTCCGTTGCATCAAGACTTTGGAGAGAAGTTTCCGAAATTTTAAATGCGGAAGGGCCTGCAAGGACTGCCAAGGAGTGGTTCAAAGTTTGGAATGACTTAAAATGTAACGTGCGTGCGAAATTAGTGAATATAAACGCCAATAATAGAGGAACAGAAGGCGGCCCGAATATTTCACCCACTTTAACGGCCATTGAAGAAAAAATAGCCAACATTTTAGGTAAGACTGTGGGGCCTCTGCCCGGTGTTAGCCAGGACCAATTGGGGGACATTATGGTGATTAATGAAAAGGTGATGCAAGACATGGCGGCAGAAAATGTTGTGGGTGAAGTAGAAGTGGCAGAAGAACCGGTAAATATTTCACCTACAATAAATCAAGACCAATTGATCTTGTCGCCTTCACCTAGCCTGACAGGGCAAGTGCCATCACCTCCACTGCTTACTGAGAGACGTACAATAAGAGGCCGCAGAAGGTCCCAGTTAGCAGATCGGCCACGCTCTCGCCCATCAGTCTCTAGATCAGCTTTAGAGGAGTCTAGAGTTATGATTCTAGAAATAGAAACGATAAAAGCCAATGCCTCTTTAAGAAATGCAGAAGCGCCCAACTCCCAAGAAAAAAACAATAAACAATTGTTTTTTTCTTGGGAGTTGTCTGAATCATAAAATACCTACCCAAGAGATATAAATCCTCTCCAGATATGGTGTGAAGTCTTTCTAAATAAGCCCTTAGTGGGTGAATAGCCCAAACAACACTATCATGTGTAGCACCAGGATAACTTGCATCTACACTTATAATATTAAGGTTGGAACCACATATCTGTAAATAAAAAAAATGTTCTTGTTATCAACAAAATAGAAAGGAAACCAAATCTTAATCTTATAAATAAAGTTACTCACAATCAAAACATTTAATGAGTGATATCCTTTTCGATTGTAAAACCTCTCCTCATGTGCATTAGGTTTAACAATTGCCACATATGTGCCATCAATGCAAACCATCAAACTATGCATTCTGAATTTGCTGTAAAACTTGAGATAAGAATTAAATTTAAACAACATAATAATTGAGTGATGTGTTGTACCAACTATCACAATGTATTGTTAATCACTTACTCTCTTTTTAATTGTTCTCGCTTTTGCAGACGAAAGAAATAAATTTATTAAGTATATTTCTATTATTTAAGGCCATTGTAAGTTACTTTACAGCTTTGGAAACGCTGGATTGAGATACACAATGCCTCCTGCTGTCTCCAACTATGGTCTGGTAGGATCCAGTAGCAAAAATGCTAATGCCAAAATATATCATGTAAAATAGAAAAAAATATTAAATTTAGCTGTTGCACAGTTAAATGTAAAAGAAACTTGGGTATCCAAGTAGAAAGTTATAGGTCCTCACAAATACACACATCAAAAGTGTCTAGGGATCAAGCATTTTTATGGGGATTTCTTGAGATTGAGATGTGGCTTTGTAATAAATTTATGATTTTATAAATTTATATGGATCCTTTTTGGTGCATTTCATAATTTGAATCAGGAACTGTGAATCAAATTCGAGTAAAAGATGAAAATCAGCTGTCAATATTTTCCCTATAAAAACATACAACGCATTGAAGACATTATTAGTGCTACTGTTTCCCTACTACTGATTAAAACCAACGTTATTATGGAGCGGCGACGTCATTTAAGCAGGGAAGAAATGCTCAGAGCCGTGGGAATGATAGAAGTGGCTTTAGCTCTGAATACAAGTCAGAGTGTTATCAGTCGACTTTGGACACGATACCGAAGCACTGGTACCGTGGCTGAGCGCCATGGAGGACGGTATCGCTGCACCACACGGAGACAAGACCGATACATTCAAATCTTAACTCGAAGAGCTTCAACAATAACCGCCATGATGTTAGCCGTGAGGCTTCATCACTCTTCAGGGAACTTAATTAGCGACCAAACAGTCAGAAACCGCTTGCATGAAGTGAACCTTCATTCCCGAAGACCGCTACGGGTACCACCTATAGCAATGCACAATCGTAGGATTCGATATCAATGGGCTCTTGAACACAGAAATTGGGCAGAAGAACAATGGCGTTTCGTGTGCTTTTCTGATGAGTCTCGTTTTGGTATGAGACCGGATACAAGACGTATACGACACTGGAGAACCCCTGGACGCCAACAGCGATTAAAATCCTGCCAGGAAGTCCATCCTTATAGTGGTGGAACCATCATGGTATGGGCGGGTATTTGGATCGGCGGAAGAACTGAGTTGATTTGGATCAGAGGCAACCTCAACGCTCAAATTTATGCTGAGACGATTGTATCAGACGTCATCGTTCCTCTACAAGTGCAAATCGGTCCCTTATTTCAGTTAATGCATGATAATGCACGACCGCACACCTCAAGCGTTGTAAGACAGACTCTCGCCGCAGCTAACATCAATGTCCTGCCCTGGCCTGCTCAGTCGCCAGACTTGAACCCGATTGAGCATGCATGGGATATGCTACAGAGAAGAGCTCTGCCGAATATGGAGGGTATCCAGTCGCAAGAAGACCTTTTTTTGTTGTTGCAACGAACATGGGCGGCCATTCCACAGCGTGATTTGGATGAACTCATTTTGAGTATGCCAAACCGATGTTCTTGTGTTGTTAGTGTTCGCGGTAGAAATACAGATTATTAATTGTTTAAGTTACCCAATAAAATTTTAGAGAAAACTGTTATTTCAGTCTTTTTTTCGAACTTTTGTGTTAGTGGTTCAAATGTCAAAAATCCCTTTATTAGGAAAATGGCAAATTTCTTTATTAATGCAAAGGTGACTTGGTTTATCGTTACTGTGACAAACGAAAACACTTTATTTGATGAATCCTTAAAGAAAATTTTAATTAATATCAATCAGGAGAAAAGTTATTGCAAAAATATATGTTGATCCCTAGACACTTTTGATGTGTGTATTTTATGCTTACCTTAGTTTCAATATCTAAAGCGTCCGAAGGTAGAGTTCGTGGCATATATGGTGTTATTTCAGAAACTAAATTGTGAAATAGATTTTTCGACAGGCGGTACCTTTTCATAAATTGCCTATCGCTCATGTTATATGCTATTATATTCTCTGTATGAGCATTTCTTACTTTTGCTCGTGCTCGAGACAATGCAACATCATATTCATGAGCCCTTTCGATTTAATCAATATATGCATTAAGCATTTTTCTTAAAAACAATACTTTATACAGAAAAAATCGAGAAATAGTTGGGTTTAATCTACTTTATGTTTTTGACTGAAGTTTACTGGAGTGCGGTCCAATCGTGATACATTTACAACTCAACTAGCTGTCAAAACTTTAGCGCAATACAAAATATCATAAAAAGTTGCGGTTCATTTACGGTTCAATGCCTTTTAGTCGTTTGACATTAAAAAACTGAAAGCTAAAGCCACGTTGAAAGCACTTGAAGAGGACAAGTATGTGCAAAAATTATCAAAAAAAATCCCACATTTGTATTACTCTTACAAGGGCAAACGCCAAACGACGTTTAAGAGGCAGGAGGTGGTAAAAAGAAGAAAAAAATATGGCACTTAAAATATTTAAAAGGTCTCCTACATGTTACCGTCTGCTGCGGAGACTATTTACATTGCCATCATCAGAGACTTTAAAAAACCTACTTAACAAAGTCCCATTTGGTATTGGACCCAATGAACCAATTTTTTAAATATTAAAAAACTTTGTCAAAACTCTAAAGCCTAGAAATAATGATCCCCTCACGCGGCAAACGGCCGACTGTCGGCAATAGGTATAACCCCGACATACG